CGTGGCTTCAAGATGGCTGCCTGAACTCTGGCTGTCTCTCCCCTCATATTACATCCTTGTGGCAGGCAGAATAATGACCCACGAAGATACCCACACCCCAGTCCCCAGAGCTGTGGATGTTACATTACAAAAGCAGAAGTGACTTTGCCTATGTAAATAAAGCTTCAGACTTCAAGATGGGGGATTCACCTGGATTATCAGGTGGGCCCCATCTAATCACTCAAGCCCTTAGAAGCAGAGAACTTTTATCCAGGTGGAAGCAGGAGGGAGATGCCGCAGACAGGGAAGCCAGAGAGATTCCAAGCATGAGAAGGATCTGCTGTGCTGTCCTGGGTCCGAGATGCAGGGGCTCGAGGACAAGGACAGGAGAGAGGCCTCGGGAGCTAAGGGTGTCCTCAGCTGACAAGAAGCAGTGAGGAAGTAGTGCCCGTAACATCACCACCCTAAGGAATTGAATTCTGCCAAGAACCTGAATGAAAGCTTGAAGGCGGGATCTTCCTAAAGCTCCCCCATTAACAGCCCAGCTGGTGACATCTTTTTTTTTCTTTTGAGTTGGGGTCTCACTCTATCACCCATACTGGAGTGCAGAATCACAGCTCACCGCAGGCTCAACCTCCTGGGCTCAAGAGATTATCTTGCCTCACCCTCCTGAGTAGTTGGGACTACAGGTGCATGCCACCATGCCTGGCTAGGTTTCTTTTGCTGTTGTTTTGTTTTGTTTTGTTTTGCTTGTAGAGACAAGATCTTGTTATGTTGCCCAGGCTGGTCTCGAACTCCTGGACTCAAGCGACCCTCCCACTTCAGCCTCCCAAAGTGTTGGAATTACAGGCATGAGCTACTGCACCTGGATGATTTTTTTGACTTTTATTTGAGACAAGATCTCGCTTTGTTGCCCCGACTGGTCTCAAACTCCTGGACTCAAGTCATCCTCCCGCCTCGGCCTCCCAAAGTGCTGGGATTGCAGGTGTGGGGCACTGCACCCAGCCCCAGCTGGTAACATCTTTATTTGAGCCTTGTGAAGCCCAGAGCGGCAGCTTGAGCCAACCCTGATTCTGTCTATAGAACGGCAAGATGACAGATTTGTGTTGTGTGTGTGTGTGTGTGGTTTAGTCTAGTATTTTCCCATTTTGTATATGTGAAAGTTGATTTTTTGCTGTTTCAAGCAGCCGATTCTGCAGGAATTTGTACGACAGCAGAAGGAAAGGCATACAGCTACTTAAACTTAAAACTTAAGAAGCAGGGGATGGCTCCTTGAGACTGCCTCCATTTTTGTTGTTGTTGTTGTTTTTTATTGTGAAGTTGTGGGGTACAGTTAAGGGTTAGGTATACAATTGCGTTTCATTCAGACACCCTGTTGATATCGGGTGTTTCCCCGTTCCCAGACAGATATTTGCTACTGTTAATGACTGCCTCCATTTTTTCAGGAGTGAATCAGTTCTTAGAAACCTCCAGATGTCTGTATGTTTCATTCCCCCACCTCCATCAAGTTGTTGCTCAAAACTCTACCCAGACCACCTGACTGAGTTCTGCTTCCTGCATGTCTACCCTGGCACTCTGACCCCACTTGCCCCAATTCCCCATGGTACTCACCCCTTTCTAACATCATAGATAGGTAGTTTATTGCATACGGTCTGTATCCCTCCTTCCACTGCCCGGCATAAAATGTAATTTCTTTTTTTTTTTTTTTTTTTTTGAGTTGGAGTCTTACTCTGTCGCCCAGACTGGAGTTTAGTGGCCGCTCCCGGCCACCGCAGCCTCGACCTGCTGGGCCCCGGCGATCCTTCTGCCTCAGCCTTCCAAGTAGCTGGAACTACAGGCATGCACTACCACGCCTGGCTAATTTTTTGATTTACTGTAGAGATGAGGTCTCACCTGCCCAGGTGGGTCTCGAACCCGTGGGCCCAGGCAATCCACTCACCTCAGCCTCCCAAAGGCGCGGGATTACAGGCTGAGCCACCGAGCCCGGCTAAAATGTAATTTCTATAGGGTGGAAATCTCTATCTTTTTCATTTCCTGGCAGGCCCCAAGCACTCAATATAGTACCTGGCCCATACTAGGGCCATATAAATCTTTGCTGAGTGAATGGACTTTGTGGGGAGGCCATCGGGGTTGGGAGGTCAGTCCCGCATGGGAGGACACCATTTTGAGTCAGGCTGCCTGGCTGAGGCTGGGCAGGTGAGGGTGGGAAGCGGGAAGGACCTGAGTTTATTTTCATCTGTTGAAAATAAAGAGGAAGTTGTGCTCCAGGGAGGGCCCCGGAAAGTCCGTCAGTTTCTCTGTCTCTCTCGGGCAAAAAAAAGAATCTGCCTTGAGGGTTGGGTGGGTGAGCAGGTGGGGATATCAGGACAGGAGACCCCGCTCTTGCAGGAGGGGGCAGATTTGGGATGTCTACGACAGTGGCAGCTCCGTCCTCTTGGGTGGGGAGGAGGTTAGGAAGGAAAGGAGGCCTTTGTGCCAAGCACTGTTCTGAGCACTTCCTTGCAGTGAATTCACGTGATTCTCATAACCATCTTGTTCATCCCTGTCTGTGGACAAGGACACTGAATCACCCAGGGGTGATGTCACTTTCCCAAGGAACCACAGTGGGGGCGTGAAGAGCTGAGACGACAGCCCAGGCAGTCAGACGGCCTCACACTCGCAACCGCAGAACCTCCGAAGAGGCAAAGCATCATCATTTCCATTTATTTATTTATTTATTTATTTATTTAATGGTTTATTTGTTCATTGAGTCAAGGTCTCACTCTGTCGCCCAGGCTGGAGCGCAGTGGCACGATCACGGCTCACTGCAGCCTCAACCTCCTGAGCTCGGGTGATCCTCCCACCTCAGTCTCCTGAGTAGCTGGGACTACAGGTGTGTACCATCACACCCACCTAATTTAAATTTTTTTTTTTTTTAATTTTTTTTTATGTGGAGGTGAGGTGTTGCTATGTTGCTCAGGCTGGTCTCAAACTCCTGGGCAAAAGCAAACCTCCTATCTTGGCCTCCCAAAGTGCTGGGATTACAGGCGTGACCCATTATCTCCATTTTATTTTTTATTTTTTTGAGCTGGAGTTTCACTCCATCGCTCAGGCTGGAGTGCAGTGGCACACTCACAGCCACCCCAGCCTTGACCTGCTGGGCTCCAGCGATCCTTCTGGCCTTCCAAGTAGCCAGAACTACAGGTGCGAGCTACCAAGCCCAGCTAATTTTTGATTTATTGTAGAGACAAGGTCTCGCCAAGTTGCCCAGGCTGGTCTTGAACCCACGGGCTCAGACAATCCACTTGCCTCAGCCTTCCAAAGTGCTGGAATGATCTCCATTTTAAAGATGAGGAGGGCAACTCCTGGAATGGAGAACTGACCTGCTGAAGTCACCCAGTTGGCCAGTGGAGGAGTCAGGGTTCACACCTGTGCAGTTGGCCCCAGAGCCTGCTGGCTCAGCTCCATGTCTTTAGTGGGGTGGACACTTGGTGCCTGTCTGTAGCAGGAATGAGACCCAGGCTGGGGCAGCAAGACAAGGCAGCTAAGCAAGCCACGATCTCTTTCCCGCTGTGCCAAGCTGCCTCCCCAGCCCCCATGCCCTAAGTCATAGTTCTGGAGTTTTCAAAGCCTTACCTTGGATCACCATCCTTTCTCACTTCCTCAACTCTGAAGCCACCTGAACTTCCCTCCGTGCCTCAAACTCAGCAACTTTTCACATGCTGCTTCCCCTAGCTCATCTCCACACCCTCTGGGTCTCAGCTCTGGTGTCCTCTCCTCCAGGAAGCCCTCTCTGACCCTCAGTCTAAGCCCCCTTTGAATTCCTCTGTCCCAGCCCTGCCCACCCTGGGGTAGTCTCTGTCTGGGGACAGGTTTGTGTCCCCTACTGGACTGTGATGAGGTTGGGGCTGTCTTAGTCACTGCTGTGTCCCCGACACCACCAGAACAGGGATCAGCACAGAGGAGAGAGTTCAGGGAGTATTTGTTAAATGAATGGAGAATGGAAATGTGAGTTAATGGTAGTTTCCTCACTCGGTCAGTTATGTTAAAACTTTTTGGTCTATATGTCACTCCCTACCCAAGACTAACTGCTTGTCTTGCTTATAGAGATTTTTTTAAAAAGTAACTTTTAAAAAAATTTTTGAGTCGAAGTTTCACTCTGTCGCCCAGACTGGAGTGCAGTGGCCGCTCCCGGCCACCGCAGCCTCGACCTGCTGGGCTCCAGCAATCCTTCCGCCGCAGCCTTCCAAGTAGCTGGAACTACAGGTGCGCGCTACCACAACCAGCTCATTTTGATTTATTGTAGCGATGAGGTCTCGCCAAGTTGCCCAGGCGGGTCTTGAACCTGCAGTCTCAGGCAATCCACTCACCTCAGCCTCCCAAAGGCATGCGATTACAGGCTGAGCCACCGAGCCTGGCGAAAAAAGTAACTTTCATATATAGAACCTTTACTATGTTCTCCAGGTCTTAGTTTAGATGTCCCCTCCTCCAGGAAGCCCTCCCTGCCCCCTCCCCCAAGGCTATGTCAGGTTCCTCCTGAGGCTTTCCCGGCCCTGCTCAGTCTGTGCTTCCTGCCGGTCCGACCCCAGAACCTTTATTTATGACCAGGTTCTATAGCACAAGCATGATCTTGGCTTAATTAAATATTCACAGGCTGATCACGATGAGCTTGGCACCGGGCTGGGCTTACTAAGCTGTTGGTGACAGACAGCTGGTCATTAGTGTGTTTCTATTATATAGCTATTGGCCATCATAATCTCAGTTCCTGGTGCTCAGGGTTCTTGGAGTTCCAGCTCTCAGTGCTGTGCCGGGAAGGAAAAGTGAACCCTTGGGTGGAGGGCAGAGGTGGAGCCAAAGTTACCTTCCTGTCACCACCCCTGCCTGTCCCGGGAGCTCGGTCACTGCGTGAGTTTGCTGTCACTGTGTGAGTGTGCAGTGGGGGGAACGGAGAGAGGTGGAGGGCCGCAGCTGGAGTGGAGACTGTCTTGTGTGAGAAGCTGTGGTCACCAAGAGCCTGGCACTGAGGTCAGGGGCCGGGACCCATGGGGCCCACTGATGTATGGAGATACCACTGGGTGGCAATCCTGCTCTCAGGTGAGTGCCCTGCTTCCTTCAGGTGGGTTGGGGGTGGGGGCGGGGAGGTAGGTGGGGGGCGTTGCTTGTGTCAGTTTGTCAGTGGTATGTGTGTGTGTGCGTGTGTGTGTGCGTGTGTGTGTGTGTGTGTGTACACATGAGGAAAGAGAGGAAGACAGGCAGAGTGAGAAATAGAGACTCAGAGAGACAGAAACAAATAAAGACAGACACACAAAAAGATTGACAGAAAGAGACATGAAGATGAGAGAGACAAAGAATGAGAGAGAGACAGGGAGAAACAGATAGAGAGTGAGAGAGAGACAGAGACAGGGGGAGAGAGATAGGGAGAGATAAAGTGAGAGAGAGACAGAGTAAGAGACAGGGAGAGAGACAGAGAGACAGGGAGATAGAGAATGAGAGAGAGAGAGATAGAGAGAGACACAAAGAGAGACAGGAAGAGACAGAGAGGGAGAGAGAGACAAGGAGAGAGACAGTGTGAGAGAGACAGAGAGTGAGAGACAGGGAGAGACAGAGAGGGAGAGGGAGAGGCAGTGAGTGAGAGACAGGGAGAGAGAGGGAAAAGAGAGACAGGAAGAGACAGAGAGCTGTAGTCAGAGCCACAGAACCCCAGAGAGAGAGAGAGAAATGCAGGAAGAGAGAGATGCACAGAGACAGAGTAATACCAGAAACTGTACCACTGAAGAACAGGATTAGACAGAAAAGAGAGAGAAGGAGACAGAGGACAAAGAGACTGTGAAAGAACTGTATAATAACGGAGAAAGAGAGAAAAGGCTGAAGCATCACAGAGACAGACGACAGACAGCAGCGTTGGACAGGCAGAGGGAAGACGCGCCAGCCTTGCATGGCCAGGTCCACGTTATCAGGACAAGGATGGGCATGAAGCTTATGCCTAAAAGGCACCTGACACAGAAGGGAGGAACTCGAATACTCTGATTAAAACAGTGTTTTGGAAGCAAAGAAATGACTCGCAGTGGGTCATGTGCAGAGATGGCAGCTCAGCCCAACCCTGCTGTTTGACCCTGAGACCAGCTCCTCTCTCTCTGGACTGGAGCTTCCTGGCTGATCCTGGAAAGCTGCAGAGACTTCAGGGTCCTTTTGGGAGGTTGAGAGTTAACCGCCTCATCTGCAGGTTTCTCTGCAAGGTTTGCCTCCTCCCAGTGGGACAGAAGGCAGGACCCTGGGGGAAGGAATGGGGGGGGGAAGAGGCCAGGTGATGGTTTTCCACAGAGCGAGGCTTCCTGTCTCGGGTGGGTTAGACGAGGCCCTCACATGTATCCTCACGATAGTCACATGAGGTTGGAACTATTATTACACCCATTTTACAAAGCGGAGAAACTGAGAATATCACTTGCCCAAATAAATGGTGAAGACGGGATTCAAACCCAGGCAGTCAGGCTCTGAGCCTGTGGACCTAACCTCTAGTAGCACCGGAAGCAGAGAAATTGCAGACATGGAAAGCCAACCCCCTCCCCGCACCGTCATCCTCATCCTCATTGTCATGTGATTGAAGGCTTACTATGAACTACTTTAAGCGTGCCACATCTGATAGCTCATTCAGACCTCACAACCACCAGACGAGCTAAGTCCTGCTCATCTCGCCATTTTTGCAGCTGAAGGAATGAAGACTCACAAAGAGAAAGCCCCTTGCCTGTGATGACAGGGCCAGGACTTGTCAGAGTCCATCCTTGTTCCTAAGAGCTCATGCCCTTAACCACCAACTGGGTGGGTAATGGAACGGTGCTTGGGCCAAAGTGGGGTCTTTTGAGGGGTACAGAAGGGCATGGTGGCCAGCCTCTGTTAATAGGGCTCATGAGCGAAATGAGGGGGTCTCGAGGTCAGCTGCACATGAACTGCTGGGGTTGGACCCCTGCCCACCCAGGTCCACAGTCTCTTACTGCTTCTGTAACTGTGCGCAGGATAACCCAATGGAAGATGGGGAGCTCTTGCTATCCTGTCCCCCTTTCCTCTTCCACGCAAAGGAAATCTCGCCTGAGGTCAAGTCTGAGGAAGCATCAAAGGTTAACATCTCTCACCAGGAATAATATCAGAAGTTCCCGTTTATCAGGCTTGGCTCCGTGCCCATCTCTGCGTGGATGAGAGGAATTCCAGTCTTCAGGGCCTGGCAGGCCAGGGTCAAGTTAAACTTTTGCCATTGGCTATATGGCCTTGGAGAGTGACATCATCACTCAATGTCTGTTTCCTTCTCTGTGGAATGGGAAGGACCATCACGGGGCTCCAGTAGGGTGCAAATAGTGGAGAGAATGCATTCACCCTTGGAGGCCCAGTTAAGACTTGCCATTTGAGACCAGCCTGGGCAATATGACAAGATCTCATATCTATAGAAATAAAAAAATTAGCTGGCCATGGTGGTGCTTGCCTATAGTTTTAGCTAGTTGGGAGGCCGAGGCAGAAGGGTCACCTGAGCCCAGGAGGTTGAGATGGCAGTGAGCAGTGATTATGCCACTGCACTCCAGCCTAGGCGAAAAAGTGAGGCCCTGACTCCAAAAAAAGAACAAAAACTTGCCAATGTTCATTACAACTCTACAACAACCCTAGGATGCAGGTGATAGAGTGCCTGTTTTACAGCTGAGGAAATTGAGGCTCAGAGAGGACAAAAACATGCTGCAAGCCACATGGCCAGTAAGTAGTAGGTAGGACTCAAGCCCCTAGGCATGGAGTACCATGTCCATGACCTCAGACCTCCCTTGGCTTCTGCAAAACCACAACCGGGCACCGCAACACAACTCTCCCTCCCTGAACGCCTCCTGTCTCCCCTTCCAGCCTCACTGTTGGCCTCTTGGAGTCCTCCAGCCGCAGCCCAGTTCACCTTCAGTGCCAACCCACTTACCACCCAAAGTGAGAAGGATGTTGTTCTGTCTGTTTGGGAACCCCCGGACATCCTAGACTCATGGCAGATTCAGAGGTGTGGGCACAGAAAACAGCACTGTCATTCTGATCTCTGCTTCTATGGCAATCGCCCGTCCGGGCTTCACGCCCAAAGTCCCAAGAGGACAAATCTGATTGGCTCAGCCATTGATCTGGCCACAGCGGTGTTGGTGGGGGGAGGTAAGGGGTGGACTTTGGCTGTCATGGCTGGGGTGGGGAAGGTTGGCGAAGAAGTGGGGAGGGGGCCCGTGCTAGCGTCCTCGTTACAAACTGGATTGTCACTGCAGCTGACATTGATCAGCCCCTTGTCAGGTTCCAGGCTTTCTGCTCATTCAATGGGGCCGGAGAGTAAGTTGCCCAAGAATCCCATCTAGAAGAAGCAGTAGACAGCCTCGGAGCTCAGGCTTGGTGCTCCAGAGTGTCTTCTGGCAATGTCAATCCACGCCTGTCTCCCTGCATCCCTCTGGGACTCTGTCTTGTTTGTTCTTCCTGTGTCTTGTCTCTGCCTCTGGCTCTCTCTCTCTCTCTCTTGCTTTCTTTCTCTGCAGAATCACTGGCCAAGCCCACCATTTCAGTCACACCAGGCACTGCCACAGAGCAGAAGGAAAGGGTGACCTTCTTCTGCAACACCAAGGACGTCGATGTTACCATCCACTGGGTCTCCAACAACCTCCCCCTTGTGCTTCATGAGCGCATGCAACAGTCCACAGATGGCAAGACGCTCATCATCCTCATCGTCCAGCGGGAGGACTCTGGGATTTACCAGTGTGAAGTCCAAAATGCTCTTCAGATCCAGAGCAGTGATCCCATCCTACTGAATGTGAACTGTGAGTCACTTTCCACCCACCCCAGCCCCTCCCTGTCACTCACTCCCTTAATGCCTCATTCAATCTCACATCTTAAAAACCATCTAGGACTGGGTATGGTGGCTCAAACATGTCACTTTGGGAGGCCGAGGCAAGAGGATTGCCTGAGGCCATGGGTTCAAGACCGGACTGGGCAACATGGCGAGACCTTGTCTCTACAATAGATCAAAAAATTAGCTGGGCGTGGTGGCGCATGCCTGTAGTTTCAGCTACTTGGAAGTCTGAGGCACAAGGATTGCCTGAGCCCAGTAGGTATAGGCTGTGGTGGCCATGAGAATGCCACTGCACTCCAGCCTGGGTGATAGAGTGAGAATCCTACTAAAAAAAAAAAAAAAGTGTTGTCTAGATGTGGATTGTCTAACTTGGAATTCCAGACACATGACTGCTGGACGTCTCTACTTGGCTTCTACTGGAAACATCTAACTTAATATATGAGGTCTGTCAATTAAGTTTGCAAACTCATCCTAGAAAAAGTGCTTGCCGGGCTCGGTGGCTCAGCCTGTAATCCCGTGCCTTTGGGAGGCTGAGGTGAGTGGATTGCCTGAGCCCGCGGGTTCGAGACCCGCGTGGGTAGGCGAGACCTCATCTCTACAGTAAATCAAAAAAATTAGCCGGGCGTGGTAGCATGTGCCTGTAGTTCCAGCTACTTGGAAGGCTGAGGCGGAAGGATCGCCAGAGCCCAGCAGGTCAAGGCTGCGGTGGCCGGGAGCAGCCACTGCCCTCCAGTCTGGGTGACAGTGAGACTCAAACTCAAAAAAAAAAAAAAAAAAAAGGAAAAAGAAAAAGTACTACATACCTCATGGCTGAATATCACTACGGTCATCTTTGAAGTACTCCCCTTGGGTAGCTATGCACCGATGCCAGTGCCTGGTCCACCTGTCACAGCATTTTGGAACTCTTTTTCTGGAATGGCCATCTGTGCTGTCATCATATTACCCTTGGTGTCCTGAATGTCATCAGAATGTCTTCCTTTCAATATTTCCTTTATCCTCGGGTAAAGAAAAAAGTCACTGGGAGCCAGATCAGGTGAGGAGGGTGTTCCAAAATTATTGTGCACAATGCTGCCTACGGTGGCAAGTTTGTGAACTTCATTGTCAGACCCCAACAAATAACAATGACGGCTCTGATGACCATTCCAGAAAGAGTTCTAACGTTCTTCTATGGGGGTACTAGGTGCTGGCATCAGTGCATAGCTTCCTGAGGGAAGTACTTTGATGGTGACCATGGTGATATTCAGCAGTGAGCTATGTAGCACTTTTTCTGGGGTGATTCATGAACTTAATTGTCAGACCTCGTATCTAACACTGAACTCCCAAGTCTCAGATGTTTGATCCAAAATCTTGCCTGGGTAGGGATGAGAAAGAGCATTAGCTGGCTTGCTGCAGACTTGTCTTCCAAGGGATAAGGCTGGCATTTCATCTCCATCTGATACCTGCATCTCCTTTGCAATTGGTCCAGAGCTTGAATGGGGAGGCGGGAAATACAGTATTTATTGACTTCCTGTGGTTCCCCCATAAGAAAACTGTTGCTGATGGTATTCTTACTGCTCCAATTGTTCCTATCCGTCCAGATGGTCCTGACTTCGTTGAAATCAAGTTGGAGTCCGGTGTCCCCAGTGGGGAAGTGGTTGAGGTGATAGAGGGCTCCAGCGTGACCTTCAGGGCAGAAACACAGTCTTACCCAACCCCTGACTATACCTGGCTTCTCCCCAATGTCTCCATCCTGTCTCCCACCACGAGAACATTCACCATCCAAGATGTGTCCAGAGAACACGAGGGCCTGTACAGGTGCTTGGTGTCCAATAATGCCACCTACCTGTCCCGCCTAGGTGCTCTTAGAGTTCGAGTCCTTGGTGAGTCTTCTTTTCTGGCTCCTCTCCTTTTTGCTTCTGGGAATCAGGGGCTGTCCTCGTCGGAAGAGACCAGGAGTTCTCAATCTCAGGCTTTTGGACATTCTGTGAAGGGATGATCCCTGGGCGGGCATCAGGTTGCATGCAAAATGTCCTAGAGAAGGGGTGAAGGTTGCCATCAGATTCCTTTTTCTTTTCTTTTCTTTTCCCTCTCTTTTTCTAATTTTTAAAAAAATTTACTTGGGGTCTCACTCGGTTGCCCAGGCTGGAGTGTAGTGGCATGATCATGGCTCACCGCAGCCTCAACCTCCTGGACTCAGGTGATCCCCCCACCTCAGACTCTCGAGTAGCTGGGACTACAGGCACATGCTGCCACACCTAACTAATTATTTTTATTTTTATTTTTAGAGATGAGGGCTTGCTTTGTTGCTCAGGCTGGTCTCAAACTCCTGGGCTCAAGTGATCCTCCCACCTTGGCCTCTCAAAGTATTGGGATTAGAGGCTTGAGCCACCATGCCCAGCCTGTCCTTGCCATCAGATACTTGAAGGGGGCTGGGACTCTGAAAAAGTAAAGCACCGCTGAGCTCCACCAGTACCCCAGAGTTTGAGGAGGACCTGGAGGATATGGACTGCAGCTGGAGGCTGAGCAGGACTCCAACCCCAGGGAGGGTTAGGCTCACTGGCTCCTGGCTTGGCATATCCTCTGTAAGATCCTGTTGGTTCTCTAGGGAGTATCCATGATCTGATTCTCTGAAGAGAAGGTTGATCCTCTATATATGAAAATACAGCACTCACACACTCCACACACACACAAATAAGGACCACACATGCACAGCACACTCTCACACATGCACAACACACACAATAGATGCTTACAACTCATATACCACACACGCACATAATACCCAGGCACACAACATACACTCACACAAAACATATACAAGAATAACATTTACACAGAGATGCATACAACTCAGCACAAAGTACATACCACAACAAAGACACATAACACATACAGCATACCCACAGTCCACAACACATATACCACACACATGACATACACACAAAACACACATACACATATCTCACATACAATATGTACACAACAAATAATAGCACAGACATGTGACACACTCTCACATAAAACATATATATAGAAAACAGTCACCCCACAAACACATACAACGCACATACGACATACACACCCATCGCAGATACTCAATAGCCACTAGACATTGCAGCCATTCAACATCACACATATCCAGGGTATACAACACAAAAGCATACCATACATTCAACACATACACACAACTGACACACAGCACACACAAAAATGCATACACAGTCCACAACACATATACCACACACATGACATGCCACACACAACACATACACAGAGCATACACACACATCACACAACACACACACACAGCACATACAATATCACAGACACAGAACAGATATTCATCTACAAAACATACATACACACATAGCACAGGCTCACACAAAAATTGCATGTGTGTAACATATACACACGACACATGCACCAGACACAAAATGCACACACACACAAAATGTATACACATGAGACACACTCTCCATACACACCAAATGCATCACATATTCACATGATCATCACCTAATACACATTTATCCACAAAAGACATATACCGCACTCACCAGACAGTCTTTGGGAATCACATACACGCACACACCACCCACAGCACAAACACACATTCCTGGAAAACCCGTGTGGGCCCCACGTAGGCAGAAGCCCAGGGAAAGGTGCCTGAGCCTGACCCTGTATCTCCACGCATTTCCAGAAAGGCTGACCACGCCCCCGGTTGTGTCTCCAAGCCCGAATCTCTTGGAGAACGCCAGCTCTGGGAACCTGACCTGCCAAACCATCTATGAAAGGGCTGCTGTCCAGTGGTTCCTGAGTGACCAGCCCCTCCTGCCCAGTGAGCGCCTGACATTGTCGGCTGACAACAGGACCCTGGTCATCCATGGCCTCCGGCGGGACGACACGGGGCCCTACGCCTGTGAGATCTGGAACTGGGACAGCCGAGCCCGGAGCGAGCCCCTCAGCCTGGTCATCAGCTGTGAGTCGCTGGCTGCCTGGGGACTTCTCCTCCTCCTTCCTTCCCTCCTTCTCTTTGAGTTCTTCCTTCTAGGCATTCATGCCACACATATTGAGGATCTGCTCTGTGCAAGGCATGGATCTGGGCCCTGGACAAGGTAAAGGGCCGGCCCTCATGGAGTGTATGTTCCGGTACAGGAGTCGGACTAGAAACAGATAAACAGGGGATACAGCCAAGGCAGGGCTTTCCCAGGGCTAAGAGGAGGCCAAGGAGGATGCTGAGAGGGATAGAGAATGATGGGAGAGGAGGAAGGTGTTGCAGGCTCAGCTAGGGTGGTCAGGGAGGTCTCGCCGAGAGGTGATGTTTGTGCAGAGAGAGAAGGTGAGGAGCTGGCCCAGCAGGCAGCTGAGGGAAGGGAGTTCCAGGGGAGGGAACAGCAGGTGAGGTGCTTGGTGTTTTGGGGGAACCAGGAGGAGGCCAGGGCAACTGGAGAGGAGGGATGAAGGGGAGAGTGGAAGAAGGAGAGGTTGTGAAGTAATGGGGATGGAGACACGGATGTGGAGGTCCCTGAGGGCCATGGGACCACTGGGAGCCACAGAGGGCTCTGAGCAGGGGAGGGACAGAACCAGACATGGGTTTTCACAGGGTCTCAATGGCTCTTATCTGTGGGGAGCAAACATAGAAGCAGGAGAGAGAGGGAGGTGACAGCAGCAGACCCCAAGAAGGGATTCAGTGGGATTCTCCATGGAAGGATTTTATTAGAAGAAGTACTCCTCGGAGAATAACTAGGGAGGCAGCAGGAGGCTGGGAGGACATCAGACTGCAAGGCAGTTCTCTCCCGAGAGAGAGAGAGAGAGAGAGAGAGAGTTGGACAGAGTGTCTGGGCAGTTGAAGGCACATCCGTCAAAGCTGCCGGGACATCTCATGTCTCCTGGGATGACCTTTTCCGGGTCTGCCTTAATTTCCCCACCACACTCAGGTGCTGACAGGGTGTGCCCGTGAAAGCTGGGAGTGGTTTTAGGGCGCAGCGATGGAACCCTTGGTCAATTACACTCCTGCTCTTGGAGGTCTTCAAGGTGTCTTCTCCTGGTGGCCACCACTGTCCAGTGAGAGATGGCAGGCTTGGGCCAGAGTGGCAGCTGCTGGGCAGTGATAAATGTAGTCCCAGCTACTTGGGAGACCAAGGTGGGAGGATCGCTTGCGTTCACATCCAATATATGTGGATGTTTTGTAGACTCACAGGATTTGCTGCTGATTGATGTCAGGTGAAAGAGAAAGAGAGAAAGAAGTCAAGAATGACTGCAAGGATTTTTGCCTGAGCCACTCAAAGGATGTGGGAGTTGTGAACAGAGATGGAGAAGGCTGGGGGAGAAGGGATTTCTACAGGGAAAGAAAGGAGGGTGTCCACTTTTATAGATGTTAAGTAGCAGAGGCTAAAGAGGTAGGGACTAAGTATGTGTCTTTTCTCCTCTTTACCTTCTCTGTGCTCTCTTTCATTCCCAGTTCATTCATCAAGCCATAAATATTTTGTGCTCTGTGCCAAACAACCTGTTGGGCACTTGGTTATAGCCATGACTTTCAGCACTTACAGTCTGCTGGGACCTGGGAGGTCACTAAGCAGGAAAATAAAATATGGCATCAGCTGGGCACAATGGCTTGTGCCTGTAATCTCGGCGCTTTGGGAGACTGAAGCGAGAGGATGGCCTGAGCCCAGACCAGGCTGGACAACATGATGAGACCTCATCACTACAAAAAAAAAAAAAAATTCAGAAAATTAGCCGGGCATGGTGATGCACTTGTGGGATCAGCTACTCAGGAGGGGAAAGGGAAGGATCGCCTGAGCCCAGGGAGTCGAGGCTGTAGTGAACTATGATTGTGCCACTGCACTCCAGTCTGGGTGACAGAGTGAGACTCCGGCTCTAAAAAAAAAAAAAGAGTAGGTGTCTCACTCTGTTACCCAGGCTGGAGTGTAGTGGCATTCTCATGGCCACTGCAGCCTTGACCTACTGGGTTCAGGCAATCCTTCCACCTCAGCCTTCTGAGTAGCTGGAACCACAGACATGTGCCACTACACCCAGCTAATTTTTTGATTTATTATAGAGATGAGGTATCACTATGCTGCCCAGGCTGGTCTCAAACCTGTGGGTTCAGGCAATCTGCTTGCCTCAGCCTCCCAAAGTGCTGGGATTACAGGCTTAAGCCACTGTGCCTGGCCCCGGTTAAATTTTTTTTAAAAGTTTATTTCTTGTAGAAACAAGGTCCTACTATGCTGCCTTGATTGGTCTTGAACACTCAGGCTCAAGCAGTTCCCCTCTCTTGGCCTCCCAAAGTGCTGAGATCACAGGTGTAAGCCACTGCACCCGGCCTAAAGGAAAGTTTTTTTGTTTTGTTTTTTGTTTTTGAGTCGGAGTCTCACTCTGTCGCCCAGGCTGGAGTGCAGTGGCTCACTCACGGCCACCACAGCCTCAACCTGCTGGGCTCAGGCGATCCTCCCAACTCAGCCTTCCCAGTAGCTGGAACCACTGACACGTGCCACCGCGTCTGGTTGTTTTTGATTTATTGTAGAGATGAGATCTCACCATGTTGCCCAGGCTGGTCTCAAACCCGCAGGCTCAGGAGATCCTCTTGCCTCAGCCTCCCAAAGTGCTGGGATTACAGACATGAGCTACTGCACCCAGTCAATGCTGAGGTTTTTTGGTTTTGGTTTTGAGCCCCCAGTGCTGTGAACCACACTCTGCTTGTCAGGTAGCGGGGCAGGAAAAGGGGGCTTCCATCCTTATCTGACTGAGATTCCTCTCAATAGTCATTAGCTAGAAGAGTCTTTATTTTCCAGGTTACAGCCTGGAATGTCCTTAGTTAGAACCGAGAAGAAGAAAAAAGAAAAGGGCAAAACTTCAAAGGCGGAAGTGCAGGGGCAGAATGGAATGACCCACCAATGCAGAAGAGGGCGTGTCATGTCTGGCTTTGTGTGCAGATGGCCCTGACCTAGTGGACATCACCAAGGGGCCGGAGTCTGAGGCAGTCAACACTATCGCAGCCGGGCTCAACTCCAGCCTGACTCTGCAGTGCCGGGCTGCGTCCAAGCCGGAAGCTGAGTATCGCTGGGCCTATCCCATTGGGGTGTATGTCGGAGAGCAGTTGGTCATCCGAGCTCTGACCTGGGAACACAGCGGGGCCTACAGCTGCATAGCCTCCAACCGTCTGACTGGCCTGGCCCGCTCCGCCTCAGTTCTGGTCAAGGTGGTTGGTGAGTCTCTCAGGTCCAGACTTCTCCCGGAATCCGAGTGACCTTTCCCGATGCTGGCCCTACCCACCTAGTCTCCCTCTACCACGTGACAGCAAGTGTATTGCATGGCCAGGTTCCCAGTCCAGAGCTGTTCAGCCCAACCCCTAAGGCTCAAGCCCTGGAAGCTCTCCTTCCGGCTGGGTCCCCTGGAAAACTCTCCAGACACTTCTGAGCCTCTATGATGGGGTTTGTGATGCCTATCTTTCTGTTGTTTAGAAGGCTGATGAGTTGGGGAAATAGCCAGTGAGAAGCAGTGAACTACATGAGGAATCAGGAATTGTATTAATAACTTCTGGGCATAACTGGCAGGGAGTCCCTGTATGACTGTCTTTAGTTTTTGAGAGGGTGACAGTATCACTATTCACTAGGGTTCACATCCTGTTTTCAATGCTTATTAGCGGTGTGACCTTGCACAAGTTACTTACCTCTCTGGGCCTCTGTTTTATCATCTGCAAAACAAACATAATAATCTTGCCTGTTTCTTAGGGTTGTTAAAGATTAATTGATATTTGAAAGATTATTAGGGCAATGCTTGGCTGCTGCGTTCTTCGGGGCTGGGTGGTAAAGGATCCTGAAAGAGGAACGGCGTGGTATAACACAATTCACAAGACACTTTTTAGAACTAGAAGGAGGGGGAACCAATGGGCACTTTGCCTCACAGGACAAAGGCCCTGAGTTTCTTACCCACCAGATTTTTATTAGTACAAAATGACGTAGTTAAGTAAGCCTTCAAGAACAAAGTACAGGCAGTGCAAAGAAAACTCCCTGTTTTGATCTTAAAAAACTTTTATGATAAAGCGTGACTGATTACAAAATATAGTGCAGCTGCTTCCAATACAACATATAACTTTTTATCTATTCTAACATAACAGACACTGCACTTTTAGAACTTGCCTCAGCATACATGCCTATCTGGCTTTGCCACTATAGGCATTTTTGGCTGGTTGTGACTTTGCATGTATGCCAAGTATGTTTTCAGCAGAGTTCAAGCAGGACAGTGGTCTCCAACACTTGGCATATATACATACAATTATCTTTACGGAGGCTGTGCCATATGTCTGAATCCAGCCTTTCCATTTATAATATCAACAAACACTTCTTGGGTACTTTCTGTCGGCCAGTTAGGAGGCAAGCCTGTTGGTACCACCAGTGAACAGAAGGAGAAACCGAGACCTAGAGACTCAAGCCCTGGCATTGCGGTTTGAATCTGGGCTGGCCACCTCAAGAGTCTTAGTTGTCTACTAAGCTGAGAACCCCAGGACACTTCCCAAATGACCTATTTTGTCTTCAGAACCTTCTGGTCTTGGGAAGATCATTTGATGAAGCTGAGGCTCCGAGGAGGAAACAGTGAGTTCAGGTGATGCCCAGGGGTATTGTGGGATTTGAATGAGATCATGTATGAAGAGCCAGTCTTGGTGCTTGCTAGATAGCAGCTTCTGTTATCATCTTCACCACCCTTAGCAAGCACTTACTATGTCTCAAGCACTGTACTGTTACTTTAAAATTTTTTTAAAAATTTTAAGTTTTAATTAAAAAATTTTTTAGGCTGGGCGCTTTGACTCAAGCCTGTAGTCCCAGCACTTTGGGAGGCTGAAGTGAGAGGATTGCCTGAGTCCAGGGGTTCGAGACCACACTGGGCAGCTTGGTGAGTCCTTGTCTCTATAAAATATAAAGAAGGCCAGGATCAGTGACTCAGCCTGCAATCCCAGCACTTTGGGAGGCCAAGGTGAGTCGATTGCCTGAGCCCGTGGGTTCAAGACCAGCCTGGGCAACTTGGTGAGACCTCGTCTCTACAATAAGTCAAAAAATTAGCCAGGCATGGTGGCGTGTGACTGTAGTTCCAGCTATGAGTATGGCTGAGGTGGAAAGAATGAGCCCAGCAGGTTAAGGCTACAGTAGCTGTGAGCAGTGTGTCACTGCACTCCAGCCTGGGTGACAGAGTGAGACTCTGACTCAAAAAATAATAATAAAATACAATTTTAAAAAAATTAGTTGAATGTGGTAGTGTGTGCCTGTAGTTCTGGCTTCCTGGAAAGCTGAGGTGGAAGGATCGCCTGAGCCCAGCAGGTTGACGCTGGGGTGGCTGTAAGCATGCCACTGCACTCCAGCCTGGATGATGGAGTGAGACTCCGACTCAAAAAAAAATTTTTATTGTTTTTATTTTTTATTTTTGTAGAGGCAGGGTCTCACTATGGTGTCCAGGCTGGCCTTGAACTCCTGGCCTCAAGCAATCCTCCCACCTTGGCCTCCCAAAATGGTGAGATTACAGGCGTGAGCCATCGAACCTGGCCTCTGTGCTGGTACTTTTATAGATGACCTCATTTAATCCCTTCAAAAGTCTGAAGAATTTGAAAGTACTATTCTTGTTTGACACACAAAGAAGTGGAGACTCAGAGAATGAAACAAAAAAGCCCTGGAGCATCCCAGGAAGTCCCCTCCTGCCCCATCCAAAGCAGAGCTCCTTGCTCATACTCCTGATTCTCTTGGTTGTCTCCTTAATCCTGGTGGCTAGATTTCACTCCCTTGAGAAAGGTTCAGCCAGAAGTGGGATGGGCAAACAGTAGGCCAGTATTACTGACAACTGTCATTTATTAATCACCTCCTGTGTACCAGGTGTTAATGTTCGTGATCTCATCTCATCTTTGCAACATCCTGTACAGCAGGTACCATTTCCCCTGATTTTCAGATGAGGAATGAGATTCAGAAATGAATTCATGTGTCAGGGTCACATGACTCCAGAGAGTCAAGAAACTCTGAGTGAAAGCCAAGTTTCTTGTCGCTAAAGCTTTTCTCTCTGCTCGTGCGTCCTCCCTGTGAGGGGTGAGAGGGAAAGCCACATTTGATCCGTCATCCTAATTGGAATAAGATCCATCATCCTTTACAGAATCAGTAAAAATCAGCTGACATTCACTGATCACGTTCTATGGGTTCAAGCACCACATACATATCATTGTGGATTAACATATATTGAACACGAATACTTATGTGTTTAGTCTTTCCTGCAATCCTATAAAGCAGGCACCACTCTTCCCATTTTACAGAAGAGACAAGAGAAGCACAGAGTTTTAGAAGAAAACTAAAAATTAAAAAACTAAAAAAACGAAAGCACAGAGTTTTAGAAGTATTACAGAAGCACAGAGAGGTTAAGTAGCATGCCCAAGGTCACACAGCTGAAACGTGAACCCAGAAACTGACTGCTTGACTCCAGAAAATATGCAATTAATGCCACAAACTGCCACCTCCCGATGACCAAAAAAAAAGTGCCCATAAAATGACAGTGAAGATAAAACCTCAAGTTTGGGAATGGAGCCGGGGGCAGGGATGAGGGCGTGTCAGGCCTGAGTCTTGATTCCCTCTCCTTGCCCAGGTCCACAGTCCTCCTCCTCCCTGTCCTCAGGGGCCATCGCTGGCGTTGTCATCGGGATCCTGGCGGTCATTGCCCTGGCCGCAGGCCTGGGCTATTTTCTGTGCGTTGGAAGGGCCAAAAAGTAAAGCTGGGAGCGGGACGGGGGTGTGGCCAGCAGGGGGCGCGCCTGTCGGGGGCGGGGGGTGCCGCTGACCTTGGTGCTGAACCGTGTCCGCGGCACACGGGGAATTCAGAGGGTTTGGGGCAGTCTCCAAGAATGACATGGGGTACGGGCACAGAAGAGTGAGGCCTTTGGGGTTTCAGGCGCTCAAGGAGAACGGAAGAGGACCACACCCATGGGTCCACACGGCCCACCCCTCGGGAGAAGCCCAAACCCAGTAAGTGACTCTATAGCTGATGGCGGGGCAGCGGGGAGGGCTGTGGAAGGGGCTGGTGCCAGGGGCCCATGCTTCCCCTCCCAGCATTATGCCAGGTCACTATGTGATTATGGACAGGCTCTATCCTCTCTGAGCCTCAGTGTCCCCCTCTGGAATATGGATGAGATCGGAGTCAAGAAGTCTGATGGGCTCTGCTTGTCCCAACAGCCATGACAAAAGCAGGACAACACGCTGTCATTTGCTTCTTCCTTCATCTCAGAAAACCCTATTAATATATTGTAGCCAGAGTTCATCAATCACAATACCCCTTTCCTGCTGAATGCAAGCCCAGTCTCAGAATAAATCTCAATACAGTGTCTCGAGTGCCTTCTGCCAAGGGATGGAAGTTGGCCAGAGGAAAAAGGAAACATATTTGCCCTTTCTGGATCTAGGGTTCTGGAAAGATGAGCCCCATGATACGTAATGCCCTCTGGAGACTGTCCGTTGCCGCTCTATCTTACAGAGAGATCAGGAAGGGTAAAAGGACTGAAACAAGGTTCCAGAGGACACGATGGCAAAACTGGGACTAGGACTTAAGATTCTCTTCTCATCTGTGTCACCAAACAGCCTTATCTAACCCAGAACTTGACTTCCAGGAGACGCCCTGGCCAAGCTCACTGGAGACATGATGGGAAGTCTTGGGGAGGAAGGAAGGTTTATAGCACTTCCTTCCTGGGGAAATGGGTTCTGGGAAACAGCCGCTTCCCTCGTATCTTTTCCTAACTCAAGCTCTTGACTGGAACACTCTTTCACTAGGCAGCCCTGAGCATTGCAATATACCCAAGCTCCAGGGACAGTCCAGAGTCAAAAAGGTGAGTGATGCTGTCAGGGACTCTCCCTGCTCCCCTGACTTCTTGGCCCTTTCCCAGTCCAGCAGGGCTGTTCTAGCCCTACTTTTTTTAGGATGGGGGGATGGTATGATCTCTTGAGGCTACCCAGTACCAGTTGGTGTCTCACTGGATCTCCTCCTTTTACTTCTCTGAGGAGCTCAAGACCCTCCCTGGCATGTCCACTTTTCTCCTTGTCTTCTTACTCTTTGACATGACAGTGCCTATCCTTGTAATGTCTCTGTGAACAAGAAGGGACACAAATACCTTTGAGGCCAAAGCTATTTCTGAGGCTTTCTGGGGATGGCCCCCATCACAATCCCTATGACTTCTTCACAGCTTTGTTTTTCCCCACATGCAGCCACTGCCCATCCCAAACCAGAATTATGAGGTATGTTGGCCCTGCTGGATGTGGTTAAGGATGCTGCAGCAAAAATATAATCTGAAAAGTTTCTATTTGACCAGCCTGAGAGATCATGTTGTCTAAATCTTCCATTGTGAATCACAGAGCCAGGGATGAGAAGAGAGTGGCCCAAGGTCTCACAGGGAACTGGGTCAGATTGCAGGACTCTGGCTCTAGTTTTGTTCCTTGCAATTCCAGGAGTTGGAACTGGTTTGCCAGGGAGGTGGTACTGACCCAGCACATGCTGAGGTGAAAATGAGGTTGGGAGCAGAGGTTGCAGAGCCAGCAGGAAAAAGGAAAGAGCTCTGGGCCAGGGCAGAGCTGGGTCCTAATCCTACTTCCGCTTGTGATTCTTTGTGAGAATTTGAATGAGTTCCTTTCTCTCTCTGGGTCTCTGGGTCTCTGAAGAGTGTAAGTTGGTGCCTTCCAGGCAATCTGCATCTGTGGGCCCTACCTGACTTCTCTGCTTCCTTGCAGATGCAGCTGCCTTCAGCAAACCCTGGAGGCCGTCCTTTGAAGCCCCCACTAGTCCCTCCTCGATCAAAATCAAGCATGGACTATGAGGTATTTTTATGCCATGCTGAGTCTTTGGACAGGTGGAAACCTGTCACCAATCTGCCTTCTTCCTGCTGAACAGTTGTGTAGGAGGAACTCTCAAGAGAATTTTCCTTTAAAAATCTTTTCAATTTCATTCCATCCATTTCCATCTTATCATTTTCTATTTCGTTTTTCTCCATTCCTTTCCAGTGCATTCTATTTTACTCCAGTCCATGTTTCTGTCGAATTTATCTTCACCCCACCCATTTTCTTTCTAGTCATTTAACCTGACTCCATTTCCATCTTTCTGTATCACTTTACCCAACTGTCTACTTTCCATTCCATTTGATTTCATCTCATTCCACTCCGTGTCTTCTCCTTCCCTTCCTCTCCTTCTCTTCCTGTCACTCCACTCCCTTCCCTTCCTGTTCGTTCCACTCCAGTCCACTCTGTTTCATTCCGCTGTGTTCCGCTACATCTTTTTCTTGTTCTATTCCCTTCCATTGTTTCCCACTTCTTTCTATTCCATTTCAGTTTTCTATCACCTCCTTTCCATTCGTTTCTTCTGCATTCCCATCTACTCCAATCTGTCCCATTGCTTTATTTCATTTCCATTCTTTTTCTTCCCATCTTATTTCCTAGCTGTTCTTTCTGTCCATAGATTTCATCTGTTCCATCTACCCTACTTCCTCCCAATCTGCTCCTTTCTTTTCTTTTCTTTATATTTTATTTTAAAGATGTGGGGTACAATTCAGGATTAGGTATACAAGTGGTCATCGTACAGGTAAAGTTTGGGCCTCCCATTGGTAACCACTTTGCCTGGTTTGAGATCAGATACCTCTACTGATGTGTGACCCCCCCTTCCTCCCCTGGCAGTTTCCAGCTACTGCCAATCCCTTTCTTATTGTTTTATGGTAAATGTTCAGGGTCCGCTTATGAGTGAGAACATGTGGTACTCTGTTGTTTCTGTGATAGATCACTGAGTATGATAGACTTTAAATTCATCCAAGTTGCTGCGAGGTCCATATGTTTGTCCATCGTGTCTATGTGCCACATTTTTTCATCCAGTCCAATTTCAATAGACAGCATGGTTGGTTCTATGTTTTTGGTATTGTGAATAGAGCTGCAATAGGCATGGATGTGCAGGCATCACTCCACTCCTTTCTAGTCAATGTCCCTGTTTACATTCTTTTCTGTTTGATTGTCTTGTGTTTCATTCCACTGCACCCCATTTCTCCTGGATCTTTGTGTTTCTTTTCCATTTATGTCCTTTCCCCCATCTCCTTCTTTCGTTTTCCTTCGTTTCCCCTTTCCATTCCTTCCCCTTTCATTCAATTCTGTTCCACTGTTTTCCATTCCTGTACCCACTGCTTTCTCCCATTCTGTCCCCTTTTCCTTCCTCTCAAATCCATTCTGCTTTATTCTAGCCCATCATTTCTGTCTCTCTTTTCATTCCCTTGATGGCACTCCATCCCACTGGCTTTAGTCTTTATTACTTTCCACACCACACTTCTCATTTCGCTTCTTATTTCCAAGTCATTTCATGCCACTCCTTCCCATCTTGTTTACGTCCTTTTAATTTCATTCCAGTTTTTTCCATTCCCTTTCCTTTGCTTGTCTTTACACTTCATGCCATTCCATTGCATTATTTCGGATTCCATTTCATTCCATTTCATCTCCTTTTTGTTCTTTTCAATGTTGTCCCTTTATTTTCATAACTTCCTTTCATTGTATTACTGTTCCATCATTTTCTCTCTATCCCTTTCTTCTCATTTCCAGCTCATTCCTTTCCTATCATTAAATTCATTTTATTTCACCCTTTTCCATACCATTTCATTCTCTCTCATTCTAATATTTTACCCCATTTTATTGCTCTTTTTCTGCTTCATTTTATTTTACCTTATTCCTTTCTTTTTTATTCCTTTCCATTACAATTTTCTCTTTCATTCCTTTTCTTTGCACACCATATCATCCTATTCTGCTACATCCTCTGCTTTTAATTTTCATTGTATCCCTTTCTATTTTTGTCTGTTTCGTTTATCTCCATTACATTTTTTCCATCTCTTTCAGTGACATTTTTTTTTTTTTTGAGTTGGAGTCTCACTCTGTCGCCCAGACTGGGGTGCAGTGGCCGCTCCCAGCCACCGCAGCCTCGACCTGCTGGGCTCCGGCGATCCTTCCACCTCAGCCTTCCGAGTAGCCGGAACTACAGGCGCGCGCTACCACGCCTGGCTAATTTTATTTATTTATTTATTTATTTATTTATTTATTTATTTATTTATTTATTATTATTTTTGAGTTGGAGTCTCACTCTGTTGCCCAGACTGAAGTGCAGTGGCCGCTCCCGGCCACCACAGCCTCGACCTGCTAGGCTCCAGCAATCCTTCTGCCTCAGCCTTCCAAGTAGCTGGAACTACAGGCGCGCGCTACCACGCCCAGCTGATTTTTGATTTATTGTAGAGACAAGGTCTCGCCCAGTTGCCCAGGTGGGTCTCGAACCCTCAGGCTAGGGCAATCCACTCACCTCAGCCTCCCAAAGGTGCGGGATTATAGGCTGAGCCACCAAGCCTGGCTTCAGTGACATTTTAAACCAATCTATTTGTTTTCAATCCTTCATTTCTTTCATGATAGTTACTTTCCCACATTTCTCCCATGAGAGATTTGAAGTAGTTTTTTTTCCACAGAAGATTTGAAGCAGCTTATATACAACACTATGATGTGGTGCTGGGTCAAAAATAGGAATCACAACCAGGAAAAATATTTGTAACAATAACAGGAAGTCAAGATGTGGGCAGAAAGTAAAAATATATGCTGGACCTAAACGGTATCTGTTTCCCTATCTCTTATGTATCTTTAATCTAGTAGGAAATAAAAGAGAGAAGTATGATCAGTTATTCACTTAAAAGGAAGAAAACTATTAGTTCCTCCAGGCATAAAAGAGTTTTCTGCAGTAAGTTAGATAACTTGGATGGGTCCCTAGGTCTAAGGACTAGTGGAATTACTTTAGAGAACTCAAGTGAGTACATCCCTGTCTTCAGGACTAGCCAGATTACTACCATGTTCAGAGATGGAACTTAGATTCTACATTCTGAAAAAGTCAGTGACCAAGCAGAATTTATCCAGAGGAGGCAGAAGAGGGAGGCCAGAAACAGGGCTTAAAGCCATGACTTATTGATAGAGTTTTGTTGGGTTTGGAAAAGAGAACGTTTAGGGACGCAGAACTCCAATATTTTAGTATCTGAAGGACTGGCTTGGGGTAGAGAGATAAATGTATTCCCTTTGTTTTGGAGAGCAGATCAATTACCATGGAGGATAGGTTAGAGAGTGATAGACTTTAGCCCAACTGACAGATGAATTATTCCTGTAAAAATGTGAATGTCCTATGTATCTTGGTCAGGAATTTTTAATATTAAGAAAGCTAGATCCAGCCGGGCTCGGTGGCTCAGCCTGTAATCCCGCGCCTTGGGAGGCTGAGGTGAGTGGATTGCCTGAGCCCGCGGGTTTGAGATCTGCCTGGGCAACTTGGTGAGACCTCATCTCTACAATAAGTCAAAAAATCAGCCGGGTGTGGTAGCGGATGCCTGTAATTCCAGCTACTTGGAAGGCTGAGGAGGAAGGATCACAGGAGCCCAGCAGGTCGAGGCTGCGGTGGCCGGGAGCGGCCCCTGCACTCCAGTCTGGGCAACAGAGTGAGATTCTAACTCAAAAAAAAAAAAAAAGAAAGCTAGACCCTTTAAAAGTAGTTCAAATAGAAATGGGGATTAATTGAGAGAACACTGAGGAATATCAGATAACGCAATTTCAAAAATTACTTCTTGGCCTCATGAGGACTGGAATGCTATCAAGAAGCTTTTCTCTCTCATTGCGTGGTTTCGCATTTTTGCTAGCCTATGAATTGGTTCCATTCTTCTCAATCCAGATCGAATTCCCATGCAAGTCTCCTGGACTTTTATCCTCTATAATTTTGCTTTATATATAACAACATCCTCTGCTGTAGTTTAAGCATTTCTAGGTTCAGATTCTTTGGAGCAGAATCTTGGCTCAGGCTATTGAATGGATCATGTTTAGGTTTGTCAGTTATGAATAGACACAGATTTAGTCACTTGAGTTCCTCTCTTCATCAGGGTCTGCATAGTTCTATTTTTTAGGATGGGGAGAGGAGATGGTATGATCTCTTGAGGACATCTAGTGCCAGCTGGTGTCTCACTGCATCTCCTCCTCCCACTTCTCTGAGGAACTCAAGACCCTCCTTGGCACATTCACCTTTTCTCCCTGTCTTCTTGCTCTTTGACATGACAATGCCTATCTTTGAGCCCTCTGTGAACCAGAAGGGATGCAATTATCTCTGAGGCCAAAGCTATTTCTGAGAATTTCTGGGGATGGCCCCCATTCCAAGCCCTACAACCTCTTTACAACTTTGTTTTTCCCCAGATGCAGCCGCCGCCCATCCCAGACCATGATTATGAGGTATGTTGGCCCTGCTGGATGTGGATAAGGAAGCTGCAGCAAAAATACAGTCTGAGAAGTTTCTATTTGACCAGCTTGAGAGACCATGTCAGCTAAACCTTTCATTGTGTATCACAGGGCCAGGGATGAGGAGAGAGTGGCCCAAGGTCTCACAGGGAGCTGGGTCAGATTCCAGGACTCTGGCTCTGGTTTTGTTCCTTGCAATTCCAAAGCTTGGAACTGGATTTCCAGGGAGGTAGTACTGATCCAGCACATGTTGAGATGAAAAGGAGGTTGGGAGCAGAGGTTGCAGAGCCAGCAGGAAAAAGGAAAGAGTTCTGGGCCAGGGCAGAGCTTGGGCCCTAACCCTACTTCCACTTGTGATTCTCTGTGAGAATGAGGAGAGTTCACCCAGCAAATGGAGCTCACCTTTTTTTCTTTGTTTAACAGCGTCTTAAGAATTCAGAACACAGCTTTTACAGCCAACTCAACCCTCCAGTCCAATGCAAGCCGAAATCCTTTTTCCAGAAGTTCTAGAGAAACCATACTCAATTATGTATTCAATGAGATTTATTGAGTGCATATTATAATCCAACCATTCTATGTCACCTTAGCAGACCTCGTGATGTTCCGTTTCAATGGATTGGTCAGACCCTAGTTCCCACCAAATCTTAGTCTCTTGACTCATTTTTTTTTTAAAGCAATAGGAACATGGTGAAAGGGACAGCCCTTGGACCTAGAATAAGAGGGTCAAGGTTTGAGACTCAACAGCTGAGGACACCATAGTTGCAGCTTGAGGATGAGTAAACACTGTAAGTGGACACAGCAGCAGGGAAAAGTAGGAGCCTCTCAGAGATGAGTAGGGCATATATTTAGGGATCAAAGAAGCAGTGGCTTTTCAAATCGTCATAGAGGATAAGGAACAAGGAGCTCTTAAGAAGTGATAGGGCTGGGCGCATTGGCTCAAGCCTATAATCCCAGCACTTTGGGAGGCCGAGGTGAGCAGATTGCCTGACCCCACGGGTTTGAGACCAGCCTGGGCAACATGGTGAGACCTTGTCTCTACAATAAATCAAAAAATTAGCTGGGC